TGCCCAGAGGACCATTAATATCCTCCGCGGACCAAGAGCGAACGGGCGCGACGCTCGTATCGATGACGGAGATGAGAGGAAGAGGCTAGCTTAATCGCAAATATAGCCGCAGATCGAGGTGTGAAGTCCTTCTCGGCACTGTCGGGATATATCAGCTCATTGAACGATTTAATAATTAGCATCCAATCGCTTCTCGTTGAGGGTTTCTCTTTAACACCAGAATCGCCGATGGTACCATTTTAGTTCCGTTAAACATCTTGTTTTTTTTTTTGCATTAGATACACGGAATTTTAAAAATACGTGAATATAATAAAAATAATTCTAACGATATAGAGGAAAGGAGAACGTTTATGGATTAGGTGGGAAATTGCAGAATATTATATCTTGTATAATTTGCATTCTGAGAATTGTCAAAATTACTTCTCATAGTCTACTGAAATGTTATAACATGACCACTGATTATTAATGTTTACTGCGTTGTAAAAATAGTATTTTCATTCTAGCTTGAATGTGGCTTTTAAATGATAATTGAATTAAATTTGAAATCTAATGTGTAAAGTTATACTACGTACTAATTATGCACACTTCAGTTTTACAAGTAGCAGACGGTTTTACAGATGTGTACTCTTGACGTAATTTTGAGAAGTATGTTTATATTAATTTTATAACTTCAATTTAACTTAAATGTACTTTCAAATGATATTTAATTAAATTGGATTAAATTTGGTAACGAAATGCACATGTAAAGTTATATTATACATATACTAGTTAGTACTATTCCATATTCTCACTCTTATTTCACAACTATCATTTTTTCACTCTTTAGTTTTTTTTAAATTACAGTCGTTCTGTATATCCGAGAAAATTCTATCTATAGCATAATTGATATCATGTGATGGTTAACAAATTTGTATAAAAAGTAGTTACGTCGCATGAATATACTGAGTTATTTCAATAAAACAAAAATAGTATTTTATAACCCTCTCTCTCTCATGCACTCTTCCTCTACAAATAATAAAATAACTTTTAATTGAGAGTAAGGATAAAAAATTATAAAATTGACATCTCCAGCAGTTGTAACGGAATATCATCGACTGATTCCAGAGTGTTAAACTTTTATAGTTATAATTGCATAAAGAAATAAAAAGATTCGAAAAGACCAAAAACGCTTTAGCAGAAAGGTACTTAAACTTGAATAATATTTCATTTGGAAAAGTACAGAGAGAATATTTTTAAAATATATCTTCTGTGTAAAAAAAGTAATATATTCCCTCTGCACGATATTTTAAAATATACATCATTAATATATAAAAATCCGATTTTACATCCATATTAATTTTTTTAAATACATGAAATGCAACGGTTTTCTTTTTACGATTGCAAAACACAAAATATAATAATTTTTTTAATTATAAAAAATACGTTGGTTCTGACACATTAAAGTATGTTTTTTTACGTCGTAATTTTGCGTTCTAATTTATAGCGCACTCTTATTAGCCCAATTGGTTACCTTTTCTTTTATAAAAAGAAATAATTTTGTGTGTAATACTACAATATTTACAGATATTTTAGCAAGTTTGTAAGAGAAAAAATAGACAATTTCCAACGTATATAGAATCCGACGGTTATAGAATATTAAATGTAAAATATTTTATTATGCTGTGAATTGCTGACAGATAATTGCAAATAATCAAATCGTCTTTAGCGTTAAACAGTCAATTATTAAAAAGGACGGACTGATAAATCCATCTACCATTGCAGCATTGGGAGAATGACAATCTACCACTCGTCTGTCTGTCGGCGCGATTAATAAATTGTCAGGATTAAAAGGGTTCACGATCAGTAATAAATGCAGTGTGCCCAGAGATTGGATTTGACGTAAATCGGCAAAACTGGAGTGAAATTTTCACACACTCTCGATAGACTCGAGCGTGTTCGTTTGCACTTCTATTTTATCCCCTTGTCGTCGCCTGATTAATGTGGATTACAGCGGACTAGAAAGAATAAGGATACCCTGTATTTGATCACATGAATTACATCGGGGGGAATATAAATTTATGGACTAACACCGTAGTAGCGTGTTGCCTCGGCACGAGTAACAGGTTATAAATATCGAATCGGGTACAAACGCCATTTCATTTATCCATGAAATTTTCCGATATAGATAAATTATGCAGCATCGGAAATACGCCAATAATAGCAACGGATTAATTTAGATCATTTACGAGCCTTTATGGTTTTGCTTCTACACGCTTATTGCTCTTTTCAATCTGATGAATAACTTATTTGTGGAATAAATATTCTAGTGCTCGTTTACTGTCAAACAGAAATATCTAATTTTTGCGGCGAAATGATTCAAAGCAGGTGTACGTAATTATTTTGCCAATCAAATCATTTGTTGTCGATTATAATAAATGTTTTCTATTAAGTAACATTTTCTATTAACTGACTTTTGTTACTGACATTAAGGTAGAAAATGTACGAACATTATATATGCATTCCTCTATTGTAACTAATTTGGTATGTTTTAAGTTAAGTAAATGTCTATACACATTTCTAATAACATTTCTCGTTTATATGTATCCGGTAAATATGCAGAATTGAAACATAAAATATTTTAAAGATACTTAAAAAATGTCTTTAACTAGGTATTTTTTAAAAGATATCTTTAACATGTTATATACTTCGATTTTGGATTTTGTGTTCTTTTATATGGGTGTTATAATTTACAGTAATAATAACACAATAAGCATAATAAATTATTATATTTATTCTACTTTATTTAATTTACTATTTTAAATACTGATTCACTGAATATAGTATTTAATAGCGATTTTTCGATGCGACAGAATTAAGTGTAGAGGACAACGTGTGTCTGACGAAAAATAACGTAATAAGTAAAAATAACATCGCTCTTTTGATAATTGATCTTTTCCCGCTCAAAGGTATAATATGGCTCTATCCGCGTTTATCGGCTAATTGAAGTTTACAAAGGTAGTCATTTGCCGGATTGGATTAAAAATTGAGTCTTTGCTGGGGATCAAAAGAAACCTATTTTCTGTCGCTCGAACACCGCAATGGATTCAATACATTGGCTATTATTGGCGTTTATATCACTGCATACATGTATTGATGTATACGGTTTATCCTTTTTTTTTTCAATCACGTTCACCGCTAGACAAACTAGCAGTCGATATTTTCATAGAAGAAAATATGATTGAAAAGTTATTTCCGTTTTTTAATTTGTAATATATTTTTAGAGTTAAATCTGTTGGAAGAAAATATAATTTCTCAGCAATTTAAAAATTACTGAAATTTATCGGAGCGAAGGTACACGGATTTTGGCGAAATTTTTCGGGAAAGTGCTTCTAAAATGTGTTTCTCGATACCGGGAATCAATTTTCGTTGTCGGTATATATCTTCTTCGAGACACCTCGTGGACGCGGCGATGAAGGCTCGAAGTAGATGATGCTTCCTTCCTCCGTCTGTATCTGTCGATTGCCAATATCTCGGCAAGACGGCAAGAGACGGCGGGATCGAACAAGCAGGATTCTTGGTTCCGATAAGAGTTAGTGCTCACTTGTTGACCCGCTTCGACGATCGTAACTTATCGAGATACAAGACCGGCGATTGAGAGAAACGACGTGTGGCCAGACGTCGAGAGTCTCAGATTTATCGAGAGGTCTTTCTTAATAACATCGCTTACACGAAGATTTTTATGGTGACGTGTACGATAGATTACATGACATGTCGATGCGGTTTAGTGATTTTTAGTTTGATAAGTTTGGACGATCTACATGATTTACTTTGATAATCCAACAAAATTATTTTTAATTTTTCAGATCTATATTCTATAGCTAAATTTTTTAACATTTAAGTAAAATCTGCCTTTCCATGTATATTAATTCTGCATAAATATTATCTTTTTCTCTGAATGCACAGCAAAGAGTTTATGATCGAGCTGGACAATTCTCCATAGTATTATAGTTCATATAGCGCTGTTGGTGATCAATATTACGCCAAGTAGTATTACCCGGCAGCAAGTAAATTTTCTGTTTTGTAGTTTGCTTGCAAATCATCGTTAGGCATTTCGATTCATCGCTTGGCATGATCCGATTGGATTGCGTGCGCTCGCGTAGTCGAGTAGAATTATAGACGCAGTGCACCGGCCAATGCCGATCCGTTACAACGAATAGCTACAGATAGAACCGATAATGAATTGGAATTGTTCGGAAACTGCATAGGCGCTTTAGCAACAACGCAAGTACTGCCGTTTGCTACAGTTGCGCACATAGTTATTCCATTCGAATAATATGTTTCGGTAATTGGAGGCTTTTACGTGTAGGTCCAATTGGAATTGCCCATTTCTGTGCCAATGATGAGTCTCTTCGTTATCGATAAAGTCGGCCTGTCATATTCGCGGCGAGTGTCTTTGTTTAAGTTGGATTGCTTCCTTTGATACCTAATTGCTTGCAATTCAATATCATTCTTAGTATGGATCGTAAATTCGTTACACTTAACAGTTTTGGATTGCTGAAAACTTTGCACCGAGTTATCGTTAATCTTCTTATCGTGATATAAAAGAATCAAGGCTATTTAAACTGAACGATTTCCTTTTAGTGAGATCAGTATTTTGAATCCGATTTATCAGCAAAAATGTGTTATCTATTCCGATATTTTAGTATCTTTTAGTGATAAATAAAAGATTTTTTAACATATTTATGGTTATAAATAAGGTATTTTTATTGGTTTGTTGATTGATCAATGTATAGTTTGATAGCATTCGAACGCATTTTTCTCAATGATTACCAATGATTTTTTCTAAAATAACGTGTTTTTGATCCATGAATGTGTGACGTAACATGAATTAACATAGAAATTGCGAGAAGGTACTAAAATGCAGGAACAGATGGTGTGCTTCTGCCAAAAAAGCGGGATGGAAATAACAGCCGACGGAGAGAAAGGGCGGAGAAACCTAATGAATGCCATGTTGAATTTACCTGTGCACCGACGAGGCCAGCGCGTAATCTAGGGATGTCCGTGTGACTCCAGTCTGATCTGGCCCATGGGTCGACCCTGCCGAGATCGCTGCTCAGGTTAACTTCGCCAAGTTGATTGTGTACGAACTTTCTGACATTCCAGGGCAAATCGTTGTGCCTAAAAATTAGAAATATGAGTTTTAACACAATATTATGTGCAACATGTATAATATGTTTTTATTAAGAAATTTTCTGGTTGAAAATAAACAAATCAGAAGATTCTGATTATTTCAACTATAGAAAATTTTGATTTGTTTGTTTATAATCAAAATAATTAATGCAATTAAATTCTTCCCAGTGTTACGATGCTCTCAGCAGTGTAGAATTTATTAACTTGAAAATTTATGATACGCTATTTGTATATCATATATGCACATTTATATATAATAATCTAAAATTTTCCAATTCTTATAATGATTGAATACACAAAACAACGTAAAATTGTTTTATTTAAAATTCTTTTATATCTAAAATTTTATAGTAAAACACATATTATAGATATTATCCTTTCTCTGTAAATTATATTTTGTTGCGATAAATATTACCGAAACCTCGGTAGTCAAATTAGGAAGACGCCCGCACGGAATACGGGAGATCCGGGCTGAATTCTATGGCTGAGGTAATATTTTTTGTAATAAATTAATTACAGCTTTTATAAGATACTTATATTATTAGCATAAAATTATTAATATTCTTCTAAGATATTTACTAGTATCAAAAATTATAAAATTATTAGTTAATTTAATATGTGATACAACTACTCTAGTTCTATTTATGATGTATTTTAAATCTGAAAAGATTCTGGCACGTAGTTTACAAAATTGAATATATAAATTCATTTTGAAATATTCAAGCATTAAAGTCCGTTTTGAAATCGAAAATAGGATTATTTCTTTTAATCGACTTATTCTCGTTCTGATAAGAATTATAACTGTATAATATTTTATTTTATGTATCTAAAAAACGAAGTTGTGAAATAGGTAATCGGAATCTATGTCCATTGTATGACATGAACAACATTTCTATTTATAACATCTGTATTCTCGCGTTTTTTATTTTTTAAGTAAATTTTTTCGTTATTATAACGAGTTGAATTTTATATTTTGTAATATGTGTAGTAATGACATATGTTTTCTATTTAAATATCACAATTATGGAATTATATGTATAGTCGAATATGTTCGAAATGTATAATGATCTGGATATTGCAATGTTACTTGAGATTAATAAGCAAGATAGAATCAAAATGGGATTTATTTGGTTTTGAGTATTTGAGGATTATATGATTATGTAATGTAATATATGATAGGTTGTAATAATTACTTGCTGTATATTAGTGAGATGATATACTCCGAAAGACCATATAATAGGCAATTCAATTTATATTATTTTTCAAATGTCTTTGCATATTAAAAATATTTCATATATGTATATTTTTATTTTGGCCAATGGTACGTTTTATCGTCAGTTTGGTAATAAAAATACGTACCCGTCGATCAGAGGCACTTCAGTGAGAATCCTCCTGATCACGTCCAGCCTCTGCTGGTGCGTGGCAGGCGCGGATTGTAGTAGAAACGGCAGACAGAGGCCTCCGAGGAGCAGAACGACCACTAGGACCAGGACAGGTGCCAACAGCCGACACCTCCTGCGAGGACTCTCGTCTCTGCGATCCTTGCTGCTGCCGCTGCTAGGCGAGTCCTCGCACGGCGGTGGTAGTCGCACGGTGCCGTTGCAAGGCGCCACGTCTGGCAGTTCTGTTAGGCACGTGGTCTGAAAGAAAAAATCCAAAACTGTATGATATTCTGCTTACTTTTCTGTTATTGATCTCGTCGAGTTATTAATTTTGTCGCAGAGGAAATTGTTGTAATAGAGATTACCCTGCAAACAAGCTGACTTTATATATCATCATTTTAATGTCAAAATGACGTCGAGTAATGTCAAATTGTTTGCTGAATATTGAATTCTTTAACAAGCGTAAAAGAAATATTATAATATACCTATTTATAATATCTTCCAAAAAAACATTCTGAGATTGTGTACAGATTTCTTAAATCATACGTCTTTGATTCTGAAATTAAAAATTTATTTTGATAGTTTAACAAAATAACAGCTTTAGGCATCTTTTGATTGAACTTTCAATAAATTACTTTATATATAGGCTGTTAAATTATTAGGCTATTTAATAAGACGTACATCTATTTTATGTGTAGCTTTTTCATCAATTCGGTTGGTGTACAAACAGTGACTAAGTTTGCGAAACAGATCTCATTCATAAAGCAGACAGAATATTTGAGTCGGTTCATCAGTATATATTCAGTATATCGAGATATTTACCTGGTAAATTAATTAATCTGGTTAATAACCGTGGCGGAGATTACACGCTGATATTCAGACATGAACGCATACGTTTGGAAATATATAAATAATTACTTATCTATAATTTCGTGCGTTATAAGCAACAGGAAGGTTAATACTTTTCTAGCTAACTGAAGAGAGTCACAACATATTTTAATAATTAAAATAAACCGGCCGCGAGTATTGGTAAAAAATTTTAATTAAACGTATTCGAAACGTATTAATATGATGAAATATTTTATCCTTTGTAAAATTGTAATTTTAACTGTGAAAGATGTGTTTTTTATATATAGTATTCAGAATTAATAACTTATCTCAACATCGATTAATATATTATCAAATCAATATATTCGATGAAAACTCTCTTCTTGCTATACATTAATTACTGCAGTTGCACAATGTAATGTTACATTTGTATTCTAAAGAAAAGTGTTTAATATTTATGTGATTATAATTGTACGGTAAAATATGATTAGGAGCTCCATTTTTTATTGCTACATAATTTTAGTAATAATAATTATTAGTAGTTCTATAAAAGATATAAAGTTGGTACCGAAACTGGTTAAAAATTATGTAGCTAAATTGTTATTATAATTCCAACAATTTTTTTCTCAGTGTAACAGTATTCACAATTAAATTTCTCCAAATTTTTCAAATATTGTGATAAGCTTCGTAGTTATAGCAGGGATATAAATCCCCTCGTCTCATACACGTGCGAGACTTTCTGACGCGAGCAAAACGTATCCGGGCGAAGTTGGACAATCGCGCATGTTAACGACTATTTAAGTGTCTCTCAGAAAGTGCATTACGTTAGTGGTGTATACAGTGGAAACGGTCGGTACGGCGGCTGTAACCTGTCCGCGGAAAAATACAACTATACCCGTGGAAGTATAGCCTCGAAGGAGGGTGTTGGATGAAAGGAGGACTCCTCCGCGGCGTCACTGCGACGCTCTGCAGGCAACGCGCGGTAAACTTTTGTTCGCCCTCCTTTCGGCCACCATAAAACACGTTAACGCCTGGCTACGGATTTTCCGCGTGTATATAGTACATAGTGTAGAACATAGTCGCGAAAGGTATTGGGATACTTGGCGAGCCTCTGGGAATTTTCTCAGTTTCTACAGTTGTCGTAAACAACTCACCAAGTCATAACTTTCGTGTATATACCCTTTCGCGATAACTCGTGATACCCATTAGATTTTACACGGTTATACAAATCCAATAAAATTGAGGATCCTCGTTGAGACGATTGATTGATGCCACCAATAATAAGAGAACAATACAAACCTTTCTATAGTTTTTACAGTTGTTTTGGTAAAACTTAATAATTTGTGTACGTCGACATTTTCGTATATAATATATTAATATAAATAAGCAAAGAAGCCATATTCAGTTAATACAAATCTTTTGTGTCTAATAATATTTTTGTGTGAATTTGAACAATTTTCAAATTACGCGCCGATTATTTGTCAGTACTGAGATGCAATCCTAAACTGAAGCTGGAGTAATATCACTAATTAAATTCATAAACAATTTAATATTATTGATCCTAATGAGCATCTTTTAAACACTGTAGAGAATTTACAGTATTAAATTTTAAGTATTTTAATTATTCTTGATTAAGGTAGTTAAGGAAACCGTATTAAATTGCGAGTTTTCAACGAGATATTCAACACAATTAAGGACGGATTTAAATAATAATAATCGAAAAGAATAATTGAAAATCGGAATGAAGGTAATGTCGTTATCGCATCAGATGAAACAAGTAAAAATTAATTTGAGAGATATAAAGAATTTTTTAATGATACAACAGCAGTATTCTGCTTCCGATATTCCTTTCGGTGAAACTTAATATTTCATGCATGTCCTTTTCTATATATAGCTACGTTAAGTTTAGCGTATTTATGGCACACAATAATGCGAAGGATACAAAGTTTCGCGAGATGCTAGCACGCGGTGGAAGAAGCTCGAACGAGAGCGATGAACGCCGGATGAAGCCAGCAGAATCAACGAGCTAAATCGCAAAAGTTATCGTCGATATTACCCGCGCGAAAGAAACGATATGCGTTATCGTCGAAGCGCGAAACAGCGAACGTTATTCTCATTTTTAGCCGTTTCTCCGTTTTCTTATTCATGACTCTGCTCGGTGAGAATCGATTATCGATACTGTGGGTAATTAATAGCTGCCTGGAGGTAATGAAAATGAAAGCTATGGACGCGCGTCGTTTCCGTGCATATAACTGAGGAAGAAAGAAAGAGAGGGGAGAGAGAGAGAGAGAAAATTCTTCTGATAATACTCGTAATTCATTGTTTAAAATTAAGTCTGGTGATTACAATTTGTTTTCTTCTTTCATTTTCTAAATACAAAAATAAACAAATTTCACTTTATTCATTAAATATATATCAGTGCAAAGGATAAAATTGAAAGTAATCTCTAAAATCGAAGATATTTTTCTTCCAGCAGTTTAATAGTGTAATTAAGAGAACAATTTCAAGTTCTCGATTTTTTTTTTATACTAGCAGTCGCTGCGACAAATTAATTCGTGCTTTGCCACGCAGGTTATGCAAAGACAATTATTATCGCTCGTGATAATAATAATAGGCGACCACCTTTTAGCGCTGCTTCTCCAGAATTTAACGAAAAAGCGAATTCAACGGACTTTTATAACCGTGCTAAAAGTTTTCACCGCGAGCGTAAACGTATTAATTAAGCGTTAATTTAGCGCGTTTAAAAATGAAACGACACATAAGGCGATTATGCAGATACAAAACATAAAAGATGTAACATTTTGACTCATTTTCGTTTTTCTTAAAATAAATTTCTTTCATTAGCGTGACAGACCATGTCCTTCGAAACATCATTTTCTTTACACAAAAACTTTGAAAATATTTTAAGATTTTATTTTATTTTTTAGAAATATAATAATATATAAAATGTTATTTATAATATTAGAACTTATTTACGGATAAGGAAGAAAAAATAAGTTTATGTTAATATTTTTCTTAATTTAAAAAAATTTTTTCTACTAAAGAAATAATAAGAAATTAAAATAGAAATTATCATTTATTACAATAATTATTGTATGAAAATTCATATATACAACTCGCATTATTTTCCGTGTCAAAGTGTAAGTTCGGAATATTTTTTTTTTGGTATTTGTTGGAATTTTTATTTTTTCAATAGTATTTTTTTTAGTTATACATTGATGTGCGAGAAACTCGACAAAATAATAAAAGTGATATATAATATAAATAAAAGATTTCAAAATTTCCATATTTGAAAAAATAATGCTGTGAGTTCTTTTTTCGATTTGCAATTGTAAAATATGATGGTGTCACGTGTTATCTCACTTGTTATCTTGTATCCATATAGCCATGCCCATTTTGCTCCATACAACTCGTAGTACCTACTCTGAAACTATAATGGAAGTCCTTTCGCATCTGACGTGTTCTTACGCGATTAAGTCCGGACCCGACTTCTCAAGGAGACGTGAAGTGTGAGATTCGTAGTCGCTCTTTGGGTACACGACGGGAAACTCAGAGGTGAACGCCATCGTTGATTCCTTCTTGTGTCTAGTTAATGGAACTAAGAAGCTCGTAAATGTATTAACTGCTGCAAAGGACATCAGCTTTGATCCGCCTGTGACGAGTGCCTATCTTCGTTTTTGCTCTTTGAAAAGCGGTAGTACGTGTAACTCGCTATTTTAAGTGCAAAAATAAAGCTGCTCTCTAAAATCATTAAAAATGAATAAATATCATAGTACAAGCAGGAATTATTGTTCAAACAAATATAGTCTTTTTGAGAGTCGAAATACGAAAAGATTCGAAATGACGACGGTGTTTTTATATTATATATATATATGTATATATATATAATTCAAAATTTTGATTCGTACTTTTTAAACATTGGCTTGCGTATATCAGCATTTGAGTATTTCTTTTATTACCAGTGTTCTTGAACGAGAAGAGGAAACATTTGAGACGATTTAGTGATGATATTTTGATCGATATCTTTTCTTTTCATATATGTACATGTTAATTATAATATAAAGAAGATATGAATAATCCCGCAAGCAAAACTAATCCGCATAGTCATTTGGATTTAGCGAACCCACGGACCTGAGCTCATCACACTGCAATATTCATTATATATCACACATTCATTCACATATAGGCAAATTTGTAAATGATAATGTAGTGAATAGTTGGAAAAAGAATAGGTTGATCTATAAAAAAAGAATAAAAATAAATCGAGATATATCATAGATGCATATATGTATATAAATTTTTTTAAATAATTTTATTAAGTTTAATATAATTAACCCTTACTGCACCAGGCGCGCGCGCGCGCGCACACGCACACACACACACACACACACACACACACACACACACACACACACAAAACAGTGTCCTAT